TGCCTGAATGTTTGTGTCTTGTAAATTATCGTTATTCAGATAAATTCAACACTGAAATGTTTGATTTCTTCCACTGAGATTTTTCATCTAAAGAGTTTTTCAGATTAAAAGAAGTGAAAAACAGAAAAGACACAGACGTGTTCACAGACGTGTTCACAGATGTTATTACAGATGTTATCACAGATGTTATCACAGATGTTATCACAGATGTTTGCCGATGAAAGACGAGCTGTGACGTGAACTTGACCCTGTGACTGTGACAAACATTTCTCAGAAGCTCAGACGTTGTTAAAGAACAAATAACTAACACTGCCCAGTTCTTTTCTCATCCTGGATTCCCTCCTCTGATTCCCTCTGAGGCTTTGGATAAACTGACTTCTCTGGACCTTGTTCCAATAATAAAACTTTTATTCATGTTGCACTTTTACTAAAGTTTTTAAAAAGGACCTCATTTCAAATTAAAAGGCTCCCGCTCACCTTTGTGTGTCAGCAGAGCCTCGTCCAGGAACTCTGCGGTGGGTCTGAAGTGAACCGAGATGTCTACGTCGGGGAAGTCGTCCACCTCGATGCCCATGTACTGGATGTTCATGCCGGCGTAGAAGGACTCGCCGGTGTAGACGCCGGTGCCGTGGGCCGTGTTCAGGATGTGGGTGATGCCCATTCGCTTCAGACGAGCTTTGTTCACAGCGACCGATCTGAAAACCAGGAACATTCAAGAGATTTGAACAAAACCCTCAGGAGAGACTGAGTGGAGGCCGATAGCAGTGCACAGCTTTTACCAGACGGTGGCGCTGTTGTGCGCGAACACTCACTTCTCTGCGATGAAGATGTTGGGCCACACCTCGTCCACCGGGTTGACGGGCGCCTCCAGGCGGTCCTGCACCATGGCCCTCTGGATGTCCAGCACACAGGGCGTGTTGTAGGGGCTGCGGTCGTCGATCATGTCCCTGACCCGGTTGTAAAGGTCCTCCACCATCAGCTGCTCGGCCGTCTCCAGCATGGACTCGGGGACGGACTCGGTGCGGACGCCACGAGGGGGCAGCTCTGAGGAGGAGACGCAGTTTTAAACATTTAAGAACACAGTCAGAGCGAGAGAAACAGAGGATTATGGGACGGCCGTGGTCGACCACGCTCCAACAGTGACAGGCTCATTTCTGTCTTCGCTTTGGGGACGTGAGCAACACAAGTGAAGTCTCCATCGCCCCCTGGTGTCTGGCTGCAGTATAGGTCATAAACCATGCCTCCTCCATGTTAGCAGACGGGATATGGACCAAACTTAACCGACGTCCTGAAACAGACGTGGAGGCGAGAGGTTGTTCAGAAGACGAAACAAAATCATCCTCTCTGCTTCATTTCTGCAGATTTTCTGGACGAACACAACGATGAAACTGGTCGTGCAAAGTTTCTGTGCCCGACGATTCTCGACTGAAATCCCGACCGTTGGTTTTCACTCGCAGACGATTTACCCGACCAGCACGAGCTGGAATGTAATGACACATTGTGGAAGTTGATCCTCGTCTGCTGTGATTGCAGTGAAAGCTGCTGTTTGACTAAAGCTCGGTCTCTGGAGGTGGCTGGCTTTTACTCCCAGTGGGGGGG